CAATTGCTGCTCTGGGGGCCAGCACACCCATCTCAGGGGGCTGTCATGGCCGCTGTACATTTCACTCCTTATGCGGAGGCCCCTGGAGAGCAATCCCCTCAATATATACACCCTTCCCACCCACTGAGCCCCTGAAGGCCTTAGTGGCTATGGGGGACATCTGCCAAGACTTGGACAGCCACAAAATGTTCCTCACCATGTGGTCAGGCACCAGGATACACCCAGAGGGCATGGTTGCTCCTCATTTTGCAATCAACTGCATTGTTCTTTTTTGTTTTTTGAGACAGGGTCTTGCTATGTAGCCCAGGCTGCCCTCAAACTCACAGTGATCCTCTTGCCTCAGCCTCCCGATCGCTAGGATCACAGGTGTGCACCACCTCACCCAGCTTTGTCATCGACTTTCATGAAGAGTGTGCAGGGATCCAGGGAGTTGCAGAGGCTGTCTGTGTTGGCTTCCTAAACTCCAGTTCCACGGTCCCTCCCACCTCGCCCCCTCATTCAGAGTGACCCAAGTTGGCATCAGAGGAGACTGACACGGTGGGGGGCGGTAAAGATGGGATGGGGGAGCTCATCGGCTGACGGGAGTCTGCCCTTCCACCTTCCCTCACTTTCCTCCTTCTCTACCTGTGTGAATCAGACAGGTGACTGTGCCTTCCCCTAGCCTCAGTCTCCATCTGGAAAATGGAGAAAAGCAAACCCAGCTCTGAGGCGTAGAGAATAACACACATCATAGGTCAGCCACAGGAAGCTCTTACCAACAGAACCCGACCTATGTCCCTCCGCCTCCTTCCCAGGGAAGGAAAAAAAAGACCAAACATTAGCTTGTAGTTGGGTGTGGGGGCACACACCTGCAATCCCAGCAGCACTCTGGGAGGCTGAGGCAGGAGCATGGCAAATTCAAGCCCAGCCCAGGCAAGTGAGCAAGAAGCTGTCTAAAACAACAAAAACGAAAACAAACAACAAGGAAAAAGGGCTGAGGGTATAGCTCAGCACACAGCCCCGGGCTCAATCCCAGGCACTGGGAGGGAGGACACAACCGAAATCCCAATCGCCCATTTCACTCCCACGGGGCACAGGGAGCAGCAGCCCACCTGCTTTGGGACGGCTTCCCAGGGTGTGGGTGGAGAGGAGGAAGCACCGCTCCTGGCGCCCTGCCGTCTCCTTCCCTCACTCGGGTCCTTGTCATTTCCTGTTAATGTCATACCAGAACCCCGGCTGTGTAAACAGCACGAATAAAGACAAACTCCACTTCCCTGGACTCCAATCTTGGTGTAACGCCCCGCCCCCGCCTGACCTGTCCCCCATCACACCGCGGGGAGGTTTGGAATCTGTGAGCCGGAGTTTTGGAGCCTGAGAATAAATAGAGCGCAGGAGGCAGCGCGGTTAGATTTAGGGCATGTCACAAGGCTTTCCTCCGCCTGTTGCTTTCTCTGGTCCTCACGGAGGCGAACAGGACAGGGCCGCCCCTTCCCTAATGGGCCTGGAGATGGCTCTGCCACGGCTCAGTTTGTGCCTGTGATGGTGGATACATGGCGTCAACCCGAGGACCCTAAAAGCTTCACTAAGTAACTCCACAGCTGAACATCCTGGGGTGAAAAGGACATGCCCTTGAAGCTCTGAGACGCTGTTCATTTAGAAGGTTAACTGTGTGACTCAGCAGGGAGCCAGGGTCCTTCTCTGTATCCACCCTGAGCCTGTGCAAGCGGAGGGCGTGGGGATGGTGTGGGCCCGGGCAGACAGCCCACACACAGTACAAGGAGGGAGAAGAGGCTTGCTCCCCCCACTTTGGCACTTGCTGCTTTTGCTGTCTTGTGCTGCCTTGAAGTGCTGCCCCTGTGCCCTGCCACTCTGCCTCGGAGTCAGCTGATTATAGACTGAAGCCTCCACACACTGTAAGCTAAATAAACCTGTCCTTCCTTGATTTGGGGCGTTGGGTATTTTGTCTCAGCAACGAGAGAAAAGCAACCAAGACAGTGCCCACTGACAGTGGGGCAAGGTCCTAGGGGTGCCACCCCTTTCCGTGCCTGTCTATACTGCAGGGCAGGACGGGCCGAGAGGGGCCAGGTCTCCTCCCCCCAGGGCCATCGAAGGGGACTTTCGCTGTCGAGGCTGCGGCCCCACGGCTGACACCACCTACACCACCGCCCTGGCACTAGGAGCAGAACACGCCTGCGCTGGCCCAGGTGGCAAAGGCCAGCCGTGGTGAGAAGCTGAGAACAATGAGGCCTGGCTGTCCTCTCTCCCCACTTCCTGGGTGCGATCATAACCGCACCACTGTGCTCATAAAAGGGACAAGGGCCGGGACGGGTGCCAAGGGGTGGGCCTGGCTGGCACTGCACTGAGAGGCTGATTTAGACACGTGATGTCATCTCTTCCCTGCCGCTGGTGGGCACTCCTAGATTGAGTCTTTTCTTCATGGAGTGCTTCCTCTACTCTCGTTTTCAAAGAGGGGCCATGAATGATCAGCTTTCTGATTTTTATCTCCTTGCTAATTTAGCTGGAAATCCAAATCTAGGTTCAAAGTTATTTTTCTTTCACATTTTACTTTTTTCTTCCCCCCCTTTGGTTTTTTTTGCAAAAGGGTCTCACCATGTAGCCCGGGCTGGCCTTGAAATTTCGGGGATCCTCCTGCCTCAGCCTCCTGAGTTACTAGGATTACAGGTGTACATCACCATACTCAGCTCTTTGATATTTTAAACAATTTTCAATGTTTTCTTAAATCTAATGTCAATGTTGGCCAGGAGTGGTAGCACATGCCTATAATCTCAGCACTCGGAAGGCTGAGGCAGGAGGACTGTTGCAAGTTCAAGACCAACCTGGGCTACAAAAGCCAGCCTGAACTGCATAGAGAGACCCTGTCTCAAAAAGCAAAAAAGGAAAAACAAAACAAAACAAAGCAATGTCAGTGTTATGAAGTCAGGGCTAGGGGTGTTGCTCAGTGGCAGGGTACTTGCCTAGCATGCACAAGGGTTCCATCCCAGCACTACAAAAAAGGAAAAAAAAAATCTGAAGCCAGTCTAATTTGGGAGGTTGGGGAGTTTGAGACAAGGCTGGCCTGCCTCAAGGCAATCCTGCCTCAGCTTTCCGAGTGCTAGGATTATAGAAATGTGCCTCTACACCTGGCTCTGAAGCCAATCTAATTTTTGTTCCTTCCTTAGTTCCAGTGTCAAGCTCCTTGGAATGCATTTGTAATGGCAGGAGCCTTAGCTGCCATGCTGGATCATAAAGCTATGATAGGAGAATACTAACCTAGTCACACAGAAACACAGCCTACATCAGCCATAAGGGGTTTACCTGCAAATGTCCACAGGAGAGAAAAAGAAACTTTCACTGCATCTGTGCTACTGTTATTTCGTCTGTGTTTTTAGCAGCTCGAAGGAAACAACTCATTAAATCTGCTTTGGTTTGTACTTTGCAAAAAGCAGATTATTTTCCCCTTGAGCTCTCGTTCCCGGGATAGCAGAGGCCTCGGCTGGCAGGGGCGCACCTCAGGGACATCAGCCCCTTCACCCTACCTCAAGTCCTTCCCCGGGGAGCTGAGGCAAGGGGAAGGGTGGAAACTGCCCCAGGCCTCACAAAGTGACCAAGCCCACAGCCACCCTCCTGGCACCAGGAAGCCCTCTTCCTGCCCACCACTCTTGCCAAGAGCTGAGTCGGGTGAGTAGGGGGAATCCTGGACCCAGGAAGTGGAGAGAAGGTCCCGTCAAGGAGCTTCGGCCCCAGGCTCGTTGGTGCCCCGGGCTGGCACAGCTGTCTGTGTTCTGCACCCAGTGCCACAGTGGTGGCGCTGCCCTCCGTGGTGGCAGCCTGGGGTGAGTCATGACCTCCCCCCTCCAGCCACGAGCTCTTTCACTCAGCTGCTCTCCCGCTTGGGCACAGAGGTGGAGGGTGGGCAGGCGTGGTTGCTGGGTTTCTGCATCAGTTTCTGAGTCCTTTCCAAACCCCTCTCGCTCCTGCAGCAGAAGCCGGGCTGTGGGCTCGGGGAGGGCCAGCACCTGCCGGCATCACCCTCTTGCCAGCCCTGCATTATCTTCTCCTAACTCAGCTCACCACCCAAAGCCATCGCCTGTGTGCTTGTTGTTTATTGTCTCTGTCCCCCTCCCAGCTCCACAGAGGGGAACTCGCAGGTTCCACAACTACTCTCAGGAGCCCGGCACGGTGGCACACGCCTGTAATCCCAGAACTTAAGAGGCAGAGCAGGAGGACTGCTGTGCGTTCAAGGCCAGCCTTGAACGGCTACATAGTGAGCTCAGTCTGAACTGCATAGCAAGACCCTGTCTCAAAGCAAACAAACAAACAAGGACAAGTCCTCCGCAAAACACAGGACATGAACTCAGGCTGCAGGACTGTATCTCAGACCTGGTGCCTGCGGAAGCTTACAGAGCCCAGCCCTGGGTTTCCCCCTATCTTGGCTCTGCGCCTTGAGCCACCCTTCCACGGGAATCCAAAAGCCAAAAAGTCACACCAGGGAGGACTCCATCCAGATTTGGGGCTCTCCCTCCAAACCCTGGCAGAAAGAACTGCTGGGTGATCAGAATCATGACCGTGGAGCGCTTCCTCCGCTGTGGAGAGGGCGGGGTCTTGTACATGTTTGAATCGCCATTACTTGCATGGAGTTGGCGCTCAAGAAAGATTTGTCTGGGGGACTCGCTAAATCCTCCTAGGGAAAAGTCTTAGCATAGACAGGACAGGAAAGAGCGTGCCTGGAGGAGAGGATTAGAGTTCGCACACGAAGAGCATGGCTGGGTATGAGTAACGTGGTTGTGGTCTGTACCTGTGTAATACTGTACATGAGGAATTAAAGGGCCCTAGGCGCTAGCCACGTGCAGATATGGAAATTTAAGTGAAATCAAATAACGTGTACAAGTGAGTTCCTCCTTGGCACTAGCCTAATTTCAAGTGCTCAGTAGCAGCCTCCTGCGGCTCGTGGCCGCTGCTTTGACAGCACATATAAAACACTCCCAGCACCACAGCGGTTAGGCTGCACCCCGCTGACCCCCAGAACAGAAGGAAGTGGCCCTGCGCTTGTCTTGGCCTAGTGACCTGAGCCCTAGCAGCGTCCCCGCGCCTGCCCAATAGGCTCTGCCGCACAGGGGCGCCAGCCCCTCCGGGGATGTACGGGGGCCTCCTCCCGCGCTGGGAAACGCGAAGGCCCGGACAGCTGGGCGACAGCAGCGTCCCACGCTTCCCCTCTTGTCGCTCACCTCCTGTGCCCGTGTCTGCGTGCTGACCTCAGGGCCAAAGCGAGGGCGCCCACTGCCCCCGGCCCTGCGCAAAGCTGTGCGGCTCCTCCGAAATGAGCATTTGCTCCGGGATGCAAAAGGCTCTCACCTCGGGAAGGTGTGTGCTCACTCGGTCCTGTTCTCCGCCCACACGCTCGGCTGCCCCGGGCCGGCGCCTACCAGGTGCTCAGTAAGGATTTGCTGGACGGATGGACGGCAGGCAGGGGGCTTCCGCCGCCTGAGGGCGCCCTGCGGGAGCGCGGCCCGCGGCTGGC